AGCAAAAAAAAAAACACCACTTCCGGACAGGGCCTTGCACATGTCGTGAGAGAGGCCAAGAAAGTCCCCCCGGCTGGACATGGGCTGACGCTTCGACTCGGCAAACGGCGTGCCCAGCATACCGTTAAGTTGCTCGAAGGCCCACTGGCCTGAACCACGAGAAGAAACCCAGTCTCCCAAATTCGCATCGTCAAAATAGAGGGATACCAGAACCGATACGAGCCGTCTGCCGAGCGCCTCCACGAGTCTCGAGTAGCGATTGAAAGATGTTACGGCCAACGGAAGGCCGAACAACAATCCTGCGTACAGCTGGCAGGCCGGTTGTTGCCACTCGCGATGCCAGAAACACACCACACAGGCACGAGCCTCCGCCGAAGACATTGGCGAGTGACGATAGGCATTCGGCCAATCCTCGCCGCCCGTCTCCCAGGCATCCTCGTCCCTGGCGCGCCCAAGTTCCTCCTCGGACATGAGGCACACAGTTGCTCTGAGGTGCTGGGCGGGAGGCAGGGGGGAACAGAGCACCAGCTTGTTGGCATCAGACGAAGCGGCCGACCCTCGGCCGCGTTGTCGATGATGCGGCGCTTGCCCGAGCCCTGCGTGATCACGCACCGCGGGATCACTCGGAACGGGCTCCCTCGGAGCTCCCTCTGCAGGCCTGAGAGAGAGAGGGGCGGAGTGCAAAACCCTTGGTCCGCGTCTGCTCGCGACTGCTCCAGCAGCACTTCATCCAGCCGGCCCGGCTTGAGCCGCCGGATTGTGACTGCGTTGTGCGCCTGCCAGTCGCCGAGCACGTCCTCGAAGGAAATGACGTGAGCCTGCTGGGTGGGGAAGACACCGTATGACGGTGCAAACCCGAACGGGTAGGTAACATCACCCCAGCTGGTCAAGATGATGAGCAAGGCGGTCAGGCCGAGATCTCGATAACGCCTGGCCTCACGCAACGCCTTCGGTTGCAGGGTTCGCAGCCGTGCCCCGACCGACTCCCACCGCCGTTTGAGCTCTTTGAGTGCACCGACGGCTTGCTGACGAATGGCACGCAGGGACCCCCTATGCTTGGCATGCATGTCCGCCGCAAAGATGAGGTCGGAGTCCAAGACTGTGTGCAACTCCGTCGGTAGTGGCCGCGTGCCCAAGTGCAAGGACTGCTCGAAATGCTCATCCACTGTGAGGCCAAAGGGGAGCAACGGAGGAATTGCCGCCCGATGGCTGGAGGCACCAATCTGCTGTCCATCGGCCGTGCACTGCCGAAAGCGCTGCTGCTTCTCGGCCGCAATGGGAACGAGGGGTCCCTCCCACTCGTCCCCCCGCGCGACTAGCCAGCGGCCAAAGGAGTCGAACGGGGCCTGGTTGATGATGTCCTCGATCATGGGAAAGCGGAATCCCCGAAACCATTCGGCTGGAAACAGCTTGCGAAAGCGGAGGATGATCGCCTCCTGCCAAGACAGGTACCGCCTGTCCAATTCGGGATCCACGCAGGAGTGCCGTTCTCGGCGCGATTCGCTCCGGCCACCAAAGTGCCGATGCCTTACAATGGTGATCACCAGGCTCTCCCGCGACGGCAATCAAAGAGGAGGCCTGCCAACACATCGGCTTCACATGGCACCTCGAGAGGACAATCGCAAAGAAGTGTCATGCCCCAAAGCTGGTCCAGCTCGTTCCATAGCTCGGTCAGGACGAACTCCGCATATCGAGTCAACCTCTCGGCTGGATCACAATTCAGGCCCGCCACCCAAGGGCTGCGCCACTGCGACGTGGGGAGCCTGTGCTGGTAGTTACCTTGTCCGACGTAGGGCTCGAACCGGGAGCTCGGCTGCGCCCGGGATTTGAGCAGGACGGAGTCCCAGCGAAATTGCGAGGGGTGCCATAGCTCTCGATCTGAGCAAATCGGGGTCGATTTGCAGCCAGTGCTCTTTCCTTCCGGTAGACTCGAACGGGGGGAGTCGATGGATCTTGGCAACGGCAAGTCCTTGCCGCGCAGCCCACCAAGAGACCGAGACCGCCAAGAAGAACGCCACCAGCGGGGCAGTACACTCGGACTCCTCGTGACTGGGGTAGACGATGGAGTCACCAACCACGTAAGGCTCCCATTCCGAAGCATCATGTACATGCTGGCATGCCAGGGGGGGGCCTTGCGAGAGCTCGTTCATGTTGTGCCGCATGGTCTGAGACTTGCACCTAGCGCCGGCGAAAACGCAGGTAGAGTATGTCGTGTCACGCCAACTCCCTGCAACGCGGCCGTACCTCGGCCATCGAAGCCCACCATGGAGAGTTGGACGGCGCTTCACACGCGCAACCGCCGCCCCGGCCACTGATCAACTCCGTTTGTTGCAAAATCCAGTCCCCAGCCTCCTGTGCCGAATTGTCTGCGGCAGCAGCGTAGGTCTGAGCGGGCGGCACGGCCGGGTACCTCCCGGCCCTGCGGCCCAGATGACCGAGTGACGGCGTCCCTCGCGCATCGTCGAAGATTTCGGGCACTTCCCCTGCCCGAGACCCAGGCTCACCAGGCATCGAAGACAGGAGGAAATCGGCTCTCGACAGGAGCTCCTCAAGCTCTGCCCTCAGCCCGGGATCAGCAAGATTGCGGCTATGACCGTCGAAGCCACTAGCCGATAGGACGTGCCATCCGCACCAAAGGAAAGCCTTCTCCAATGGTGCGTTGGGGCCGGGCTGCAAGTGCAGAAACGTGGGGGACGAGCTCGTCCCTTGAGCGCTCTCTGCGATGGTAGGTGAGGAAGAGACCTCCCCCAAGCCCGGCCCTACCTCATCGGGCTTGGGGCCCCATCATGGCTTCACTTTATTCTTGCACTGAGCTGGTGTATGCTAGCCACCGCACACACGCTCCTGTCTGACCACCACGCCGCAAAGGTGGGCCCCTGAGGTGCAATCCTTCTTGCTGCATCTGCCTCGCTGAAATTCTTTGCACAATTGCTTCCCGTCCTTCATGCAAGAGGCGACTTTCTTACCTGCGACGGTGCCCAAAATTTGAAAGAGGGAATCAGCTTTGCGAACCGCTGGCGGGGCTTCGGGAAGGGCATCCGGTCCCCGGCGGCCCCGAAGAAGGAGGAATCCAACGGGGGGTCGCGCGCAACGAAGACCTCCTTGATGACCTGTCCCAGAGTCTTCTGGGAGTCGCGGAACCGGGCCACCCACTCGGCGCGCTCCTCCTGGTCGCGGGCCTGCAGCCATGACAGCCTGCGCGAGGACGACACAAGCGCAGCGGTCCTCTTGGCACGGAACCAATACATCATAGCCACGTCCAAAGGGACTGCCACAAACAGGCTGGAATCTGCACCTAGGTGAGCCTCCTCGGTTCCCGCAACCGCGCCTGAAACCGCCATGGTGCCTGCCATGGCATAGGCGAGGCAAAGTGTGAAAAATCTGTCCAAATAGGACTCGGCATCGCGAGGTCCCGCCTCGTCAGGGTCGTCGTCCTCAGTGTAAAGGTTGGGGGCAAGCTTCCGCTTCTTAACTGACGACAACAATTGGTGCTGTAGGCTCTTCACTTTCCAGACGGAAAAGATGCATAACATCCGTTTGCCCATTTCTCTGCTGACCCGTGAAACGGTCGCATCGGACGGGTGCACCTCAGGAGGATATCGCTGGCGGTACCGCCGCCAAAAGTTGGTCTTAAGGTCACGGAGTTCACTCTCCCCCAAAATACAGTCAAGGTCTGCCAACGCAACTTTGGACCTGTCCGCTTCAGACTGACTGAAGTACATACGAACTGCTGCCCGACATCTGCGAAGGCGGGCTGCCTGTATGTTGTGCTCCTCGCCGAGGGGGGGTCTTCTTGAGCCACGGGTCCACTGCCCCTTCGTCGGCGAAAAAGTAGCGGAACTCCTCCAGATTCTGCACCTTGGTTGCCAGAAGAGCTTGCACGACCTTATCGTCCAATCCGAAGTTCAGGCCCAAAGCCTGCAACGTAGTGGCAATATCTGTCCCGTCCCGCGGGATTAAGGTAACTGACAAGGGCATGGCCATGGCTGCGATCACGCCCCGTTTGCTCTGAGCAGCTGCGGACCTGGCGCGCAATGAAATAGTATCGATGCGAAACTCTAAGAGAGAGAAAGGAAAGGGGGGAAGAGGCAGGGGGGCACTCGCAGAAAGCTCTCCTGACCCTAGAGCACGTCACTCATGCTGCTGCAACCCCTGCCAGACAGGTGGAACTGCGGGTAATTGCTCCCGCAAATTGCTGGTCCATGCATTCATTGTCACGGCCCTGATCTAGCCGCTGCTCTTAGTCGGCAGGCTGCCTATGGGGCCCACAAAATTGAGCGAGGCAGCGCCATCTTGACGCTACCCTCTAAAGGGGGTCGCTCCCCCATCACCGCGGGTGCCAAGAGGCCGGAGACAGCTTAAGGCAGGCCTTGCAGAAGCTGATGCCCCAGCCCACGGCTTCTTCTCGATCTGAAGTAGACCATGCATCCCTCAGCCGCAGCGCCTTGGACGGTGCCTGGTTGTGCTTGCACAACGGGATGTCGTTGGTGGCAATGTGGACGTTGGAGAGAGCCGTTGCCAAATAGGTCGTGGGTGCTGGGGCTGCTTGCCCGATCTTGATGCTTCGACGCATGTGGTGCACGAAGTCCCCCACAAACCGTTCCTTCAAGACCTTCTCTGGCTCGACGTCGCGAAGGGACTTAATGTGATCGTAGGCCACGGGCAGACTCTCGAAGGCCAGGAGGGCTCGAACTAGCCCCGCATATGTGGCGTGCCGACCTGCCATGCAACGGTAGAGCACGTCCTCACCTGCCCACAGGCTCTGCTGCGAGGTCCAGCTTGCGCCCCAGCGCTCCCTGCAAAAGGACCCCACCCCTCTGCTCCGGGGTTTTGTCAAAGCAGGTCACCTGCAAAGCCACCTTAGAAAAGTGCTGCGCCGTAGCCGACGTGGGGAGGCCGGCCAAGAAGAGTCTGCCCCCAGATCCAGAACGCCAAATCTCTGTGCGGGCCTGAGCATCCCTTCCTCCCGCTGTGGCAAGGCGGTCGAAGTAGTTGCGCCAGCTCTCGGTGCGGCCGCGCTCCGCACTCCCTGTGGCTCCCTCTGAAGCGGGCTCGTCGGCGATTGGCAAAGCCGGGGAGCTGCGCAGCTTCTTTGGGGGCGGACGGGCCGGCTCAGGGACCCTGGCTGAATCCTTCGGCCGCGGCGCCGGGGCTTGCAATGGTCTCTTGCCCGCACCCACGGAGGGACCCGGCTCCTTTGCGGACTGTGCCAAGAGAGCTCACTTGTCGTAGCAGACTCCCGCCGCGTGGTTCCCTCCACAGGCTCGTCCGCTCCTCAGCGCTACCGCGCAACGGTGCGATCCTGAGCAATCATGCCCTGCCAGGTTGCAGCGTCCAAGCTGAAAGCGAGCGCAAAGCGACTGGCCGTTTTTTAAGAACGCATGCAGTCAGGACCTTCCCATTCAGGGTGGCTGGCATTTGTGCCACTTGCTCCTTCGCCGATGTGGCCCTTGTTTTGGCAGCACGGAGCCTCCAGGTCCTGGTCAAGGCCAACGAGCGGTGCAAGGCCTCGGTAGTCACAGGAGCCTGGTAGATCGTGGTCCGGTCCCCCACGATCACATCATCGACCTGGCTCCTGACCGCTCCTTTGATGCGTTATAGCTCCGTGTCCGTGACAGCGCTCCAGTCCTCGAAGCCACGAACCTCCCACGCTGCTGCCAGTGAGAGTGCCTTGAACCGAAGCGAAGTCGTATAGCGAGCGCTGCTGTAGTGGAGGGGCATCTGGTTACCTTCCGGGTTGTTGCTGGCCCAATCTCCTAGTGCCAGCTGCTCCTGAGGAGATAATCGGAGGAGCTGGCCCACCGTCGGCAAAAGCCGCCTCCAACTGTAGGTGGTCATGTCCGCGGGCTCCTGGAGCATGTCACTGAAGATTTCCTGGACACTGAGGTTGATTTCAGAAATAGCCCAGGGCTTGCCATCCCGATTGAAGCAGATGCCCGCTCTCTTCTTGGCCAGCGGAGTGAGTGCCTCCCACTCACGGAGCCATGCCTCGGCCCAAGACCATCCGGAGGAGAACCGGGAGCAGATCGCGAAGTCGAACCCAGAGATCCTCAGGTGAGCCTGCTTCCCCCGGCCGGCGGCAATGACCATGAAAAGCTGTCGAGGAAATACGACGCGGCTCGGATACCTGAAGGTGGCGATACCTAAGGCAGCCCGCCGCCACCAGCCAGGACCCTAACAGGGCCGTCCACTTCGCGTCACCGTGGGAGTGAGCCAGCTCGATCTTTTCCTCCAGGAACCCAGCATGTCTGGGCCGACACACGGTGCTTGGCCGCGAGGCTGCCCCGACCTGCCCTGGCCATGGCCAACCTCTACATCAGCCAAATCGAGGTCAAGCTTCGCCTTCTTGACCAGCCACTTCAAGCAAGCCAGGGCTCGGGCCGGTGCCGGAGTGCCCTCGGCCAGGAAAGAGTACACGTCCACTATCTCAGGCACCAGGGGGTGTGACCTCGCCCTTTGCCATGCGGAGAGCTCGCCCCAAGTGCTTAAGACACCCTCGATCGTAGAGCGATCGGCCCTGTCCACAAACCTGGACACTGTCCTGTCGACAGCCCTCTCCCACTCTCGGCGAAGAGCGTCCGTAAGAGGACCAGCCGGGCGAAACGCCCCCACCTGGACCAAAGCTGCTGCCAGCCGCTGCCTGCGATCACGCAAGTCACCGCCGTCTGGCTGGGGCGGGGCAATCCTACCCTTGCGTCCTGCAGCCGCGCTTGGCCTAGGCAGAGGTGGCCGCTCGCGCGAAGACAAGGGTCCTTCCACTGCCATAGACGCAGCCGAAATGAGGCAGCCTTCCTGCTCAGCCCGAACCACCGTCCACGCATCGGCCACGTGATGGCCCGCCTGTCTCACGGCTTGCTCGTAGTTCGTGAAATAAAAGGCGAAGTCGGAGTCGCCCTGCACCCTGTGCTTCTGCCTCCATTCGCGAACGCGGCTGGCAGCGATCACCTGAAGGGACGTGTCTGCAGACCACGTCCCCTCGCCTTCCATCGCCTGCACTGCATAGGCTCCCGCCATGATGTGCCACAGCCCAAAGCCCGAGGCGAACTGTGCGAGCCGATGCAACCAAGGAGGCGGACTGCACATGACAAACTGGCTTAAGCGACTTAGCTCAGCACGACACCGTTCAAAACCCTGAGGAAGTAAACTCGGCCGGGAGCACCTTGATGTCCATGCGCTTGCCCGCCAAGCCAAGGGGAAACCTCCGGCAGCCAGCCAAGGGCGAGAGTACTGCAGACCAGGGCCGAGGGCAACAAAACGGTTACCGACCGCTCGCTGCTGCACTCGGCCAACAAAAGACCCGTAGACTGCAAAACTGTGACCAGGGGTGCGGTTACCGACCGCCCGCCCCTGGTCAGGGGTACCTCCCCTTATATGTTGCGAAACTCCCTGAGATCGCCACCCAGAAGAATTCGCAACACCAGCCTCGGACCAAGCCAATGCAGGTTTGAAGCGATGTCCCTCGAGTATCACCTCGCCTCCCATGGGCAGCCCTACCTGTACCTCAGGCAGACTCTGACTCGGAGCTCCAAGCCGTGGCCTCGGCAATCCTGACATTGCACGGGTGACATGGTCCAGCCCTAGCCCCTGGCTCCAAGAGGTCCCCGCAATAGATGCATGCTCGGGGACTCGCTGGCGCGCACAAACCTGATCCAGTGATGCAGGGCACGTTGGGCCCTGAGATGGGGGACCATAAAGGCCGAGGCAGCATCGGGAACAGACTCGGAAGGGTCCCGCCAGACCAAGTCGCCTTGTTGCCAAGAACGGACTGCTGCAAGGAGGTCGTGTACGCGGGTACCCTCCCTGCGATGCAATGAGTTAAGCTCGGCTGCATAGATGGCTGTAAAAGCGTGTCGGGGGACAAGGTCCGAGAGCTGCAGCCCCGAACTGAGGGCTTGACGCTCGGCCCCAGACATAAGCTCGCGGGATGCAGCCAAGGCTCGCCGAGCATCATAGGGACTGAGGCCTTCTTCGGGTACCACCCGGCGGCGAGTCCACGGTCCCAAGAAAGGGAACTGAAAGCCTCCGAGGCCCTCACGGCATCTTCTGCTACACACGAACCGCCGCAAAGGAACCGTGACATCACCGAACCGTAACTCCAGTAGCAGGACATCGGACACCGGAAGGTGTGAGATCTCGCACACCTGGTTCCATATCGACAAATACACAGATCGGAGGCCTCGGCGGTCGAGATCGACCATGTACACCTGAAAGTCCACCAAATGCTCGGCTGACAAAACCGGTTGAAGGGTATGGGTGACGACAGCATCCACCTCGGCATCACCCATCACAATGACACAGGGGTACCTCCCCCGAAAGAAAACTCTAAGCCTTTTTGGATCGAGAACTTGAGCCACAATGGCACACGTGTGGGCTCAAGATCAGCTTGCAATGAAGACTGCTCACCCACGCCTACCAAACACAAAGCAGTTTTAGATGATGGTGGTGATGGTGGTGATGACGATGATGATGATGTGCAGACGGGTGCAGGATGAGGACATCAATGAGCTGGCAATAACGATGACCATGATAAGGCATGATAAGGCTATGATGACGGTCGCGGCGGTGACGGCAACGACGAGGACGACAACGACAACAACGAAGACGTCCCAAACATGGCAACCCGCGATGCCCAGCCACATCTGCACTGTCGGACAGAGATCTGGCATAGATCTCCAGAGGCATCCGCGGCTTCCCAGGAACGCAGCCAGCCATGGCATGCGAATCAAAGTGGGTGAAACTCAACGGCAACCCTAAGTGCCCCAAAATCCTTAAGGGCGCTGCCCTACATCATATTGTACTGTACACTATACTACCTACAGACTATAAGTTTATAAGGGTTGCTACAAAGGTCCCTGTAGCAAGGGTAATTTGGACGGCTTAGGGTTTAGGGTTTAGGGTTTAGGGCTTAGGGTTTAGGGTTCGCGTGTAAAGTTTAGGGCTCCGGGTTTGTTCTTCAGGGTTTAGGGTTTAGGGCATGGGATTTGGTAAAAAAATCAGGGATGTAGCGACTTCAGTGGATCGGATCTGGGATGACCCCACTGGTATTCTGTCTGGTGCTTAGTAGGGAATGGGGGAATGGATCCCTATGATAGCTCCTTGAGGTCCCTGAAAGTAGTCCATATAACCCATTCCCCCATTCCCTACTAAGCACCAGACAGTATTTGCGCCTCGATGGCACAAGCTCTTCACCTAGTGCCCAGAGCCTCCACGCTGCGACAACGACAACAATCTAGGGACCTCGATAATGGTTGATGGTTGTGGGCTCCTTTAAATATAATACAGACCCCTAAAAATAACTTTGGTGACTACTTTAGGCTAGTATTGAACCACAACCGACTAACACTATCACCTTTCGCGCTCTTGGGGTATAGGATTCAAGGCGAAGCACCTGAAACCCTTCAATCTCAGACCCTTAAAGGCCTTTAAAAACCCTTCACACTGGCCTAAATCCTGGTAGCACCGCTGAAACCTGAGGCAACCAACAGGAATCCCCGATGTAAACCCTAAACCCGAAAAAACCCAGGCCCTACACCCTAAACCCGCCAAACCCCTGAACCCCTAAACCGCGACCCGAAACTCCCAAACACCAAACCTCTGCGATTTGAGGATCCAGCTTCCCATCTCGGCTTAACAGGAGGAGCCCTAGCCACGAAAGAAGTGGACTTTGCAGGGGTCGGGCGAAATTTTCAGAAAGTTCGGGTTTAGGGTTTAGGGGTAGCTCGCTGTAAAACAAGGAACCCTGTATCGGGACACTTAAGGAAACCTTCTAGGAACCTTCAGAAAGTGTGAGGGGTCTGTAGCTCCCTATAAGGTCTCATCAGGTTTTCGAGTCTTTGGGGATTGTAGATATAGGATTTATTATCAGGGTTTGCTCTCAGGACTTAACCCTACACCCTATACCCTAAACCCAATACCCTA